GTTGAGATTGACAATCATCCTTCTCTTAGCTCATCTTTCTTGGACTTCTTTAAATTTCTTCATCCTCTAAACACTGTTGCTTTCCAGGGGGAGCAGTCCCTAAACTTGCTGCAGTTCAAGATGTAGGAAGATGTTCACTTGAGTTTTATTAAAAATTTGATAGTATCCCAGACCTCAAAATCATTTTAAGGCATCCTAATGAGATGCAGACAAGATAATTCATCTACATTGCACAGTTATTGCAGAAACATATTTGAAAAGTTTCACTTAGCATAACCCCCTGATGTATTAATTGGAACCCTAGTAGCAATACCTTCACATTCATATTGAATGTACCATGGATTGCCAGGAGAATGCACAAAACAGTCTTAATAACAGTGTAACCAGGATGTTTCTTAGAAGTGAGGATCTGGAGTCTTTGGGTCACTTATTTTGGACATATCAACAGGAAAGACCAATCGCTAGAGAGGGGCATTATGCTTGTAAAATAGAGGTCATTGAAATGTGGAAAACTCTCAATTAGATGGATTAGTCCTATAGCCACAGCCTGGACTTAAACTAATATTAATGAAGTGGGCAGAGGACAAGGCAACGTTTCTTTCTGTTGCTATATAAAATGGCACCATGCGTTCAAAAGGAAATCAAGAAATAGGTCCTCTGAATGGGATCTCCAGGAGTTCAATGGACCTCTCTCTCTCTCTCTCTCTCTCTCTCTCTCTCTCGATAGATGATAGATAGATAGATAGATAGATGATAGATAGATAGATAGATAGATAGATAGATGATAGATAGATAGATAGATAGATAGATAGATAGATAGATAGATAGATAGATAGATCAGCTTGGCACTCTGGGCCACTAAGCACCTAGATCGACACAGAGGAAGTGCTGTTCTGTTTGTTCTGCCATATACTAAACATACCTAGATAGTGGGTACAACCACAGCAGGACAGTTTCATTTTTCTTGTTCTCAGTAATATAATAACCTAGATCTACACAGGGAATTAATCAATGTAACAGGTCAATTGTATTGTGGGCAACTCCCATGCCATGTCCATTACAAGCCTCTGATTTGATAAGATTATAATCACTGAGAGTGGTAACCATCATGTCAGAACGGTTTCAGGCAGGTTGGCAGTCTCGCTGTCAGAAAAGGCAGTATGAAGAGGTTTCAGCAGAGCTTCCAGACTAAGAATGGCCTATGACCAAGGGACAGGCTGTTCACTTCAGAAGAATTAGCCACTGAAAATCTAATGATAGCATCAAAACATTGTCAGATACTCAAAACCTAATGAAACAAAGCAGAACATTGTCAGAAACAGTGCCAGAAGAAGAGCCCCTCAGGTCTGAAGGCTCTCAGAATATGGTCGAGGAAGACCTGTCTTCTCAAAGTAGAGTTGACATAATGACCTGGTCGGTGGCAAGCCTGTGGGAACAAAGCCATCAAGATCTTCATTAGCTGAGGAGGTGTGACTCAACATGAGAGGAAACGGCTGCAAACAGCAACTAATAATTGGAATTTGGAATGTATGAAGGATGAATCTAGGAAATAGGGAGTTGTCAAAATGAAACGGAATGCACACGGATAAATATTCTGGGCATTAGTGAGCTGACCCAACAGAGGAAACTATGGAGATGCAGAGCAGACTAGCAGGGTTTCCAGGGGTTATGTTCATGCTAATACTGATATTACTGCCTAACAAAAAAGTGTTCATTTTACTCTACGATCATGTCAAAAATAGGCCTAAAACCAAACAGACCCTTCTGCCACTGGGAAGAGTTGGTAGACTTTTTTTTTCTTATCCTTTCCACAAAGTACAGTCCCAAATTCTGGAAAATATATATAAGACAGACATGGGTGCTAAAAGGTGGAGTTAAAAGAAGGCAGACTGGTTAAGGACCTCAGGATCCAAGGAATATATATAATTTTGTTAGTACTCTGGGTTTTCCTCATGACTCATACATTCTAGACTGGCTGTTAGAGAAGTTGGTAACTCAGAAATTACACTAGGTACAGACCAAAAATGTCCCCACAAAACCTTGCTCTCGCTAAAGAAAGGCATAGGA